CGTGACTCTTCTTCGTCTGTGAGGAGAGTGTACAGCATTCATTGCCTTATAGGAATATAAATTAATGGGATAATTACGATAGAAACAAAGAAAATACTACTGGTAAGCGATATCAATTCCTGAAGATAGTTAATGCTGGACAGTCTCATCACAGATGATATGAAGACTTGAGTCAACAGATATATGCTTTCTGCGGGACGACGCTGAGAATGCCATGGGGTAAGCATGCAAGCAAGAGGAACATTTAAGGAAAACAAATATAACACATCTTAAGTCTAATAGAAAAGAAAACACAATGTTTGTATTCCGTGAGAGAAGATTTATCGTAGAGTTGAAGACGAGCATTCCAAGGACGGCATTAAGATATGCGTTCTCCGAATCAGTCAGTTACACTTAAACGATCATGTATCTTTCGATACATTACTGAAGAGGCATATTTAATTATCCCGGAGTAGGTTGCCATTTCTTTCTGTTGCAGACCCGTTGACATCCAAGGCGATTGAGCCCGGTCTGTTCTGCTATTTACCCATAGATGTGGGTAGAAGAATTGGATCCAAGGGTATTATCACGTAAGTGAATGTAATAGATTCGACTGGAATTCGAACTCAGCTCAGTCCAAGCCCCTATCCATTATTCCATCGTGCCTCCTAGTAATTGAAATTTTGAGATTATCTGATTATTTTTTCTTTTTTTTTTACTTGGTCGAGTTACCTCGCACATTCATGAGTCTGCCACGCCATCCATCACGGTCCTGAGTCAAAGTCGGAAGGTTATTACGGAGACATTCTGTATCATATCATAGCTGGTCAATATAGGTGGTTACTTAGCAACCGACTCGGCTTACTCCATGACTAGGTGTCCAGAACAGTAGACCACTCGTGATCTCTTGTTTTGCTTGTCAGCAATCTCCTACAAAGCACATTCTGCGTTCGAGTAAGATTGCAGAAATATCAGGGATAGATCGACAAAGCTGTGATTTAGTTTGATACTGTCTCCAGATGCTTGATATAGTTCTCAGACTCCAAGCGTAGGTTACATAAAGCTTAGGTACCATACATTAACATCGTCTCTCTAGTGGCTCGAATGAAGCTCCGCTTATGGTTGCCTGGTAGATACGATTTTCCCGATTACATCCATTTATTCAAGGCGAGCCAGGCTTTTGCTATAAGAATTTTCACATCCTTTTCTGTAGAATCTACCTCGCCTCCTAGGTATTTAGCAGACTCGACAGACTTTATTGAATCACCTTGATCTGAGTAACCTTTTGTATACAACTGAGGGGTTTGGATGTTTCTGATATGGTTTGACGCCCTCTGTGATAAGGCTGTATCACTCTAGATATGATGAGTCGGAAAACGCAACTTTTAGGTCAGTGTTTTCCATAAGATATAAACTCGAGTTCTGGTTTCAAATAGCCAGACTAAGTTCAGACTCGTATGTGAACGTAATAAATGACGTCTGAAATATTAGAAGAGATTATCTAATGTAGGCTAAGTTTGGAACCCATAAAAATAATTCGGCACCAAGTGCGAATCCAACTCACAACTATTGCGTGACTCACTTACCAAAGATCACCCTGGCTAATGTTCCCTGACAAAATTTATATACCTCTTATTTTGTTTCAGTAATTATTAGAGATCTAATTCAAACGCCAGCGTTTGTCGTGATACCACCGACAAATAATGTAAAAAGAGAAAATGTCACCAATAAAGGAAGAGTTCCGAAATGAAAAAAGCTTCCAAGGAGAGTTGACTCGATAAAAGAAATACCGATAAACAGGGTTTGCAGTAAAACTAAGCGGCAATAAACTGAAGTCACTGATAAATTCTGACACCTTTGATACCCATAAAAATGGTTGCTTACCGAGGAAATAAGCCCGCGTTCACTGTGCGCAGCTGAAGATCAACAGAATGATTGATAGAAAAAAAAGTGTTAAATTTAATTATCATTGGAAAATTGCTCTATAAACATTTTCGCTGCTGTGAACGTATTTGTACGTCATTACACACCTATACAGCTTGCTACGCACGTATAAATACGTTCATAAAATCTACTTAAACGTCCTTACGAAACTTACACTGCCTGCTCTCCCTGTATCAATACGTTTTCAAGATTTACTTAAACGTTTTTACGAAACTTATACTGCCTGCTCTGCACATATGAATACGTTTTCAAGATGTTATAGAGAGTGAGGAAAAGAGTAAAGAGGGGGTGTTTGAGGAAAGGATAAAGAGAAGAAAATGGGTTCAGGATCAAGGTATCAGAAGATGTCGATTGACATGTTTTTGAATGTCGATAAACTTGAAGATTTTGTAGTACGGATGTTCGTACTTGACATTATCATTAATTTATCGTGGTTAAGAAATGTTGGTCTACAATATTTTATGCGATAAGTAAATAATATCTTTTTCAATCCAAATTGATTTAACTTTAAATTTTCTAATTTTCCTCAAAAAACGTTTCAGAAATATATATATATATTTTTTTTATTTTTCCTAGATTTTTAAAATCGGAAATTTATTTATAAACGTGTCAAAATGGCCATTTTTATCGATTTTACTGGAAAAAATTGATTCCAAACAATATAATCTGAGTTTGAAATACACCACAGAGTATTTTGCTTACTGGAAATAGTAGTTTAATCCTTTAGGTTTCAATAAAATTAGTAGAGGTATCTAGTTTTGTGGTATAATGCAGATCTCATTAAAGTTTGCTTTCTAAAAATTTGAAATGATTTTAAAAATTAGACTATTATATAAACTATTCACTGTGAAATAGTTGTTTAAATATGTCTGTATCTATGAATTTGTCGTCCATTGTATGTCATTGTCTTTAAAAATGAACTGATCGACAAGTTCGTTTATCTTGGCAGTAATACAGCTTCTACAGAAAGTGATGTAAATATCTGTATTGTCAAGGAATAGGCCGCCATAGTGAAGCTACCAAATATTTAGAAATAAAATTTGCCTATCAGCATAAAAAGAAACTTCTTCCAAGTCAGTGCCACATCAGTACAATTGTATGGAAGTATGGAATGGACATTAATAAAAGCATCACAAAAGAAACTAGATGGCTATACACAAAAATAATTTGTGCTGGCCTAAAATTTAACCTAACCACAAAACACTCCCCAACATCCTATAAAAAATCAGCTGTACGGCCACCTAGCGTCTATTTCACAGGTCAACCGAGAATGAAGGACATCATTTTCAGACGTGGACTGTCAGATAAGTACCAGTTAATTTGAACACCATAATCTATTCATTGGCTTTAATTAAGCATACATACCTGTTTTGAATTCAGAGATATCATATAGACTGTTTCTCAACTACGGCTAAAGATCCCAAGATTGCTTGTTATTTAACCCATAGCTGGGATGAGAATTTTTTGATTCATACCTTTCGCAAGAGTATTTGTGCGAAAGTGAATGTAAAGAACTCAGCCAGAATTCGAACACGGTTTTACGGATTTCTATTTTCGAAACCAATACCATTATGCAACGTAGTACTAGCAATGATAATAATTAACTATTTCCTTATATGGAAACATTCAGCATTCATTTACCGAGCAGCCAGTGCTACTATCGGTTGGAATTTAAACCTCATTTGCTCGTGTCCGTTTTAATAATTAATCTGAGAACCCAGTTGCATACAACTGACACTTTAGTTATCTCTGAACGGTTTGGACGCCATGAATGTCAGCCTTATGAAAGAAAGCCTCGATCTGGCGAGGAGCTGAAAACATCAGCGGTAAAACCAAATCTTTATCACGAAAAGTGTATTGTACTGTATTTGATTTGATATCAATGAGGTGTTTATTATTTTACTGAATCATTATTCTTTGATTGCTAGTGAAATTGTTAGTATAGAACAATACAGTTTACTTCTTAGAGGTTTGAGTGATTTTTATTGAAATTAAAATAATTTATAGGACAGAGTGGTTGGAATTCCATACAGCTAGATGAGACCGGTCTTTCGCGTGTGATTTTGTCGACCAAGAAATCAGGATAAATGGCATTGTGAAAGGAATTTTCTGATGCAAAATATTCAACAGACATGGCGCCACCGAATTGTTTCTTTTTTTTCGATCAATGCAGAATTCTTTATCAAGTTTTTTCTTCTTTTTTTTTCACTATTCCAAATTGACAACTTTCTGCATCGAAGAAAGAATCTTTTTATCAAGAAGGAATTCGAAAACTTCCAAAACCTTGGCGGATAACAGAATGTCAAGAAAAATATTTTAATGATGATTTACATAAAAAAACTTTATTAAGTATTAATACTGGAAATTTCTTCCAACAATTAATATATATATATATATATATATATATATATATATATATATATATATATATATATGCTAAACGCAATCGTCAGGCTGCCAGTTTCTAGCTTTAAACAGCCTGTCGCCTCTGAGTGTTGACTTCAATGTTCACTTTTATATTTACATACGCTCTTTCTCTAATATTGGGCACTTTATCCAATAAATATAGCACACCTTAAAATAATATATATATATATATATAGAGAGAGAGAGAGAGAGATATCTAATATATATATATATATATATATATATATATATATATATATATATATAGAGGGAGAGAGAGAGAGATATCTAATATATATATATATATATATATATATATATATATATATATATATATTGATAGATATATATATATATATATATATATAGAGTGAGAGAGAGAGATATCTAATATATATATATATATATATATATATATATATATATATATAGAGAGAGAGAGAGAGATATCTAATATATATATATATATATATATATATATATATATATATATATATATAGGAGAGAGAGAGATATCTAATATATATATCTATCAATATATATATATATATATATATATATATATATATATATATATATATATATATATATATATATATATATATATATATAGAGGAGAGAGAGAGAGATATATATATATATATATATATATATATATATATATATATATATATATATATGAGAGAGAGAGATATCTATATATATATATATATATATATATATATATATATATATATATATATATAGAGTGAGAGATATATATATATATATATATATATATATATATATATATATATATATATATATATATATATATATATATATATATATATATATATATATATATATATATATATATATATAGAGTGAGAGAGATAGATATTCATATATATATATATATATATATATATATATATATATATATATATATATATATATATATATATAGATGTGCAACTGACATTCCTGGCATAAAACACTTAAGTTTTCAATCTCTCGCACGAGAAAATATAAAGTGAAATCGCGTTCACCCCCTTGGTTCTCAGCTCCTTGCGCAACAGCTCTTGCCCACAGGAATCACTAGTTCCGACTATACCGTAGGGACATGTCTGTTTACAAATAATGTCTCTTTGTCACTGCTCGTAACGAGTTTATGCATGTCCTCAAAGAAGCAATGTTACTCTTTTCCGAAAGAATGAATCAATGTACTGCGTCTCGCAAGTTTAGTTCAAATGATTATTGGAGGCGCTGTAAACGCGTGCTGAACGATATCAAACCATCAATCTCTCAAGAATAATGGAGTAGTTCGAGCCGTGGTTCTAGACATCTCTAAAGCGTTTGATTGTGTTTGACATGCTGGCCTTCTTCGTAAGCTTCAGGGATATGGTATTAAAGGACGATTACTTGACTTCATTCATTCCTGTCGAACCGTCAAATGAAGTTCGTCCTAAACGGGTTCCCGTCCGGCTCCATTATCACGAACGCTGGTGTCCCCCAAGGCTCTATCTTGGGCCCTACACTGTTCCTGATTTTCATCAATGACCTTCCCGATGTCATCAGTTCCCAAGTAGGTAACTACGCGGACGATACCATGATTTACTCCTACCTTAATAGTAAACCTAGTATCGCTGACAAAACTAACCTGGCAGCTGATCTCGAAAAAGACCACTAATCTATGGTTGACTGGGGCCGGAAATGGCTTATAAACTTTAATACCTCCAAACTTCTCTCCTTAAGCCACCACAGAGATCCCTTCCTGCCTCTCATCAGAATGACTGAGTCCCAACCTTTTGAGAGCGCCACGTTCATTCTGCTTGGTCTCACGCTGTCCGCTGACATGAGGCGGAAGAGATATTTTCAAGGCAGCTGTTCCGACGAACAATTTTCGCTGGTTCCCGGACTACATAAGGTTAAACGTGCTACCAGGCTGGCATCTCGGTCTCACCCTTTCACTGTCGAAACAATTAAATGTAACCGTCTCTTCTTCTCAAACAGCTTCTTCTCCCGCACTTCCCGTCTGTGGAACTACCTTCCCCTTACTTGCTAACTCTGATGACTATAATCTTCAAATATTCAAGTGTAATGTCAATCGACATCAGACTCCCTGAAGTTGTTCCACGTCCTGCTCTGTAACCTTTCATCAAACGTGCCACTTTATTCTTGTTCTCAATCCTCTGTAACCCATTGCGTGCTAGTGGCACTCGCACCTTGCTTGGAGTGAATTGCCTTATATATATATATATATATATATATATATATATATATATATATATAGATATAGATATATATATACATATAGATAGATAGATAGATAGATAGATAGATAGATAGATAGATAGATAGATGCCTCCAAAACGAAACTGCTCTCCTTTAGCCAACACAGAGATCCCTACCCGCCTCCCATCAGAATGATTGATTCCCAACCTTTTGAGAGCGCCACGTTGCGTCTGCTTGGTCTCACTCTGTCCACTGACATCAGGCGGAATAGATATTTTCAAAATATATAGATAGACAAATAGATAGATAGGTGGGATGATGTCTTCTATATATATACAGTGAGTGAGTGAGTGAGTGAGTGAGTGAGAGAATTAACCCAAGTAAATAGTTTTTTACTTCGTTGATTGATCTTATCTTCAGGATCCCGACGACAGATAAGGTACCCACCCCGAATTACTTCGTCCAGTCGTCAGGGGGTATCTTATTATGTTGAGGCATGGAACAGCAGACTGTTACCACTCGCTGTTGATGTCAGTGTACACTTGTATATTAACATAGTCTGTACCACTGATAGTGAGAAATTCTCACCAATAAACATAGCATAATTTAAATATATGTTTTTATCATACACAAATACACACACAAAACTTTAAAAAAACATCTCTCAGTCATCAAAACACACAAATACGTAATATTTCTTTGCAGGGCTTGATCCTAAGTGTTTGATATTCTTTAATTATATATATATATATATATATATATATATATATATATATATAGAGAGAGAGAGAGAGAGAGAGAGAGAGAGAGAGAGAGACAGACACAGAGAGAGAGTGAGAGACAGAGAAAACAGAGGATATGGAAAGATGACTGCCAGTTTCACTGTATCCCTCCGAAGATCGCATTGAAGTCGTGTTGATGTCTGTATCCCTAGTGTATGTAAATGCTCTGCGCTCATTCCGATATTGATTGTTCTTCCCCCATAAATTTCGCAATACACACACACAAACATATATATATATATATATATATATATATATATATATAGTAAAGGTAATAAATCTGTTGGTATGTAATCCAAGAGAATCTTATAAAGCCTCTTCCATTTTAGGCTAATACCTTCCACCTTCCCACTCGTGCCTTTCGTCTGTCTGAAACATTGAAATGGATAAAGTCTGTATTAGTTTTTCGGCAGCAGTCACAGTTAAATTTCTAATTCCGACACAAACTCAATCTCGGTATCATACTTCACAACTCTAAAATTGTTCTATATATATATATATATATATATATATATATATATATACATTTATGAATAAAAATGACAATAGGAAAACTGGTAATTGCTGACGCGTTTCGTCCAATGTGGACTTTATCAAAGCAAAATACGAAAATGAAATTAATTGAATAAAGTAACTAATAAAAACAAAAAAACAACTTAACTAATACACTAGTCATACATAGAAATAAATTCAACCATAATTTTGATTTTAAAAATGCTACACTCATAAAAAAAGAAAATAACTCACTCAGAAGGAAAATTTGAGAGTGCAGCCACAGAAAATTACCCAAATATTAATCTACGCCCAGGTTTTTCCCCATTTCACCTTTCTTAACAAAATTACTGCTCTTACAAACAAATATACACACAGATTCATAAAATCAAAAGAAAATGGTTGAATACATCAACAGATATAATGACAATATTCTCCACACGTGACAAATACTGACGTTATTTTTCAGTTAAAAATATGAAAATTGCGTTTTCTACATTTCAGTTGCTAGGTACATTCTGTTTTTGCTTTTTATTAGTTACTTTGTTCAATTAATTTCATTTTCGTATTTTGCTTTGATAAAGTCCACATTGACGAAACGCGTCAGCAATTACCAGTTTTCCTATTGTCATTTTTTTATTCATAAATATTGTCTTTCTACTGGTTAAATCAGAGAAATTTTCATATATATATATATATTACATGATATCGCGGAAACTTGCAGAAATTAAAAAACGTTTCTATGAAAGGTTTATATATATATATATATATATATATATATATATATATATATATATATATATGTGTGTGTGTGTGTGTGTGTGTGATGTAAGAAAGTGGTTCGTGACGATAATTTCTTCGTCATATATAAATTAGATATTAGAATATATTTTATTGGTTAGCATCGTCTACATAAATTCATTTTCAATTATACACGATAAACATGATATATTTGATTAAGTTTCTAACTTCTGAAATATTTCAATACCGAGTAAAAATGGTATTCCATTAACAAGGGGAATGCATAGATGATTGGTGAGTTCTCATGTTTTAGATTTGCACTTATTTGGCGCGATAATGGATGTGTGTATAGTACAAACGCAGTCGCTTAAAAAATCATTTCCGCAAAAGCTTTCTTGGATTTACTCAAAATGGTAAATTATAATATAAATGGACGAACATGTCTATAAATCTGGTGTTTTTCATAAAGATGTTAATTCTGTTATTAGAAGCAATTATTTTGTAGGTGCATTTTTTAAAAACTTTCTCCGTTGGATTTCATATCAGAAAATAAATATAAAAATAAATTAAGGAAAACTGTAAACGTTGGTTATCTGGGAGAATTAGTTGTGACTGACATAATTAGAGCCGTTTTCCAAACAAAAAACTGGAAATTGCATATTTTGCTTAACTATACCAAGAGTAAACGCCACTTATATAAATGTATATATCGGCTAATTTATATAATATACACGAATGAGTGTAAGCAATATAGCCAGCAGTATGTGTTATGAATTATATCTCCTGTTAAAACTACATGTCAGGATCATATATATATATATATATATATATATATATATGAAGAAAAATGAAAAACAAATGTTTTTTAATGATAATTATGTTGTATTAATGTTAATATAAAGTCGACGTCGATTTTATATTAACATTAATACAGCATAATTGCATGTTAAAATTTTTGTTTGCTTTTTCTCTATTTTTTTTCATACTGTCGGATTTATATCCATATATTTGCTTACATGCATCTTCTTAATGTAATAAATACTGATAATGGCGACGGCGATGATTTCAGTAATTTTAAAAAGTTAAAAGTTGTATGATCAGAAATGTCAACGCCATTGATGGCCAAAATTTTTCGATGCGAACAAGAATCTAAAGGTTTTCTGCCAAATGTGTGCAAACGGAAGCGCTAGAAAAGCATTAGTGTGTAACCAATATTAGGCATTATGTCTGATGAAAACACCGTTTATTATTGCTTCATGTCGGAATATAATCCATTTTCCTTACAGTCTATGCTGCTTTGCCCATTCACACTAACCCATAAGATGATCTCAATCGGCACCATGGTATTTTCAGATTGACTAGACATTGTAGAGGATGAATCTCTTTGTTATTCAAATAATTGACACGCGGACTATTGTCCTTATCGTTGTTTTTGTTATGCCATTTAGCCTTCATCAGGTGTCTGTCATTCCGGATATCCTATAGGTGATTTCGGATATCCTATATGTCATTCAGATACACACACACACACACACACACACACACACACACACACACACACACACACACACACAGCCACATATATATATATATATATATATATATATATATATATATATATATATATGACTAAAAAATATTTTTAAAAATTAAACGAAAACGCATATATTCGCAATCTCATGTTATTTTAAATACATAGCATATAAATTAAACCCAAACTAAATTAATTTGAATAATATTTTGTATTTTTAAAAATTCTAGAATATCATTTACTTATTTGTGTTTATTAGATATTGTATTATGCCACTTGGCGTCCTCCATAAATTGCCAGACTTTTGGGCTGACCTAATGAAGATTTATGAGCGTTCTTAAATTTTTTAAATTTGTTTATGCCATTATACATATTTTCTTTTACAGTTTTTCCATATATATATATATATATATATATATATATATATATATATATATATATATATATATATATACAGGGTGTCCCAAAATAATGTATACACTCATTGAATCGTTATAACTTTTTCAATTTATGTATTTTGACTTGTAAATAAGATTAATACAAGAGAAAGAATACCCATTTAAAGAATATGAGAGTAAAATATACAAAATAATATAGAAAATTAACTTTAATACGATAAAAGCAACTTGGCGTAATGGCAGAATGTTCATATAATAATGAGTTCATATCAAATTCTCAAATTGGTTGCCGTTCTGTTCAATATATTTTTCATATTTTGAAGAAATAGACCTACAAACGTCCAGTATCATTTCTTCTGGTATTTGAACACATTCTTCTTCAATTGCTACTCTTATTCCAGCAACTGTTTGAGGTTCCCTACTGTAAACTTTGTCTTTCAGAAACCCCCACAAAAAGAAAGGGTGTCAAATCTGGTGATTTAGGTGGGTATTCAACTGTCCCTCTTGTTCCAATCCATCTGTTTTGCATATTTTCATCCATATAAAAAATGTATTATTAACTATTAATATTTAAATTAATATACATTATTTTAGTACATCCTGTATATATATATATATATATATATATATATATATATATATATATATATATATATATATATATATATATATATATATACCTTTTCTCTTACATCTGTAATTGTGCTTATTTAATAATTAAACACGCAAATTTTGAAAAAAAATACTGTAAAGGGGGCAACTGTTAATGAGTAATTAAAATAAAAGTAACTAATTTTATATGTATATATGATACATAATATATATATATATATATATATATGTGTGTGTGTGTGTGTGTGTGTGTGTGTGTGTGTGTGTGTGGAGAGAGAGAGAGAGAGAATTAATACAAGTAAATGATTTGTCACTTATCTGATTGATATTACCTTTAGCATTCCGACTCCAGAGGTGCGTAGACGAACCTTCAGGGAATCACTCAGTCCACTCGTCAGTGGGCATCATCAATCGACTGCTTATACTTGTTAATTTTTATATTTTATATTCACTTTTCATTGCTGAATGTTTTTCTTTTTATAGTGTATATGTGCATACGTACGTTTGACCATACGCCTGTCTATATGTGGGTAAGTGTAAAATGCCGTGGCCATTTGTCGTTTTCATATATACATACATACATGCACATATATATATATATATATATATATATATATATATATATATATATATATTAACTTCTTCAGCTTCTGAAAGTATAAAAATAGATATGTACTGTAACAAATACCAGCAATATTTTTTGGAAAAACAGTTAAAAGCAATACATTTTTGAAAAATTTACAATTATCAGCAAAACAATTTTTTAAAATTAATACATATTCTTTTCATACGAACCTATTCTAAGAAATTTTTGTCGAGAGTAAATACCTCACTGTGGTTGATATGCCGTAAAACAAAATAAACCAAACCAAATCAGCTTTGGATTAATTAACAAGACAGCAAGGTCTTTATTGTCGGCGACTCGTTTTTAGAGAAATGATATCTAAATTAAAAAGCCGTATATATCATATATTTGACTGCTATCGAAAAGAACGTGTAGTTCACAGTAGCAAAGTAGAAGGACACACAAAGTCATCAAATTGTTTCCTCGTGTCAAGAACTGAAGTGAGAAACTTTGTCAGTTAGGTCACAAAGGACAACCACATTACAAAACAAGTCTGCCAGTGAAACAGAGGGAAAGATTTCAGAGACTCCGCAAAGATAAACAATACGATATCTGTCCAATGTTCAGCGAACAACTGACAAGACTCTAGGTAATGACTACGTTTAGAAATCCAATCTGAAGGACAATCACTACAGAAGGAATGACAAGGTAAATAACAAACGGAAACTCTACTTCTGTAGAACGACACCAACAAATTATAGTAAGGGAAATTGGAAAAGGCCAAAAAGATCGTTACTGACCTCTGACCCAGCAAAAGTCAATGGCTTAAATTCCACAGAAAACCTCTATAATGAACTGAAGACCAGGGTTAAAGTCAAAATACAAAATTGTGTAGGCTTGAAAGAATGCCAAATAATAAATGATGACTTGTGGAAACTTTTAAAAAAAAACTTGTTTGCTATTTTTTAAAAATCAATTCACATCAAGCAAGGCGATAATTCCACTAAGACGCAAGAAATTACTGGAATTGAAAGAGAAAGTGAAGTATTTAGAAGGAACCGGAAATCTAATGCTAAAGAGAAAACAATTGTGCACCCTTTTTGCTTCATGACGGCAAAAATGATTCCCAATCGTTGATAAACATCGGGGTTAGTTAATAATTTTCACCTTGGTGTTTTTTTCTGATTTTTTACATCTTTTGTTTTTATCAAAATGTGGCATCTGTGTTCAAATAAAATGATACAGTTTTCCCAAATAAATCAAGTATAACTAGAAATACTTTGTAAAAAATCCTAGCTCTTGAAAATAATTAAAAGAATCCTAGCAAAGGGGAAATTATTTAATAAATAATAATTAAATTGCCATATAGGGCTAATAATTTTGTCCTCAGTGGCATGAATCGAGAGAGAGAGAGAGGAAATAGAGGAAAAGAAGTTACCTTTCGAAAAAGGATCGTTCTAGGTTTTGTTTTTTTACTAAGACGCTGTACGTGTTTAGCAGTGTAGATCCAAGAAAAGACATCTCAATGACGTCATACAGTTTAACACGAGCAATATACACGATATTCGCTGTGATTTTAATCTTCCAGCTGCTGTGTTGTAAAGAAAGATATGCGAAGCTGTGAGTAAACCAGACAGTGAAGTCAAATCTTTAGTTACAAAGCAAAACAACCTCTTCTGACTCTATGGTCTTATAGTTAGAGGACATTCTAATACCAGAGGCCGCTGATTGCTAATAACTTGCAACGTAAATTATTTGACACATTACACATCACCCATCTTAAAATTAAACCTCTTTTTTTTTAATTATTACACCCCAAGTAGGCAATAAAGCCGCTAAGAGGGTGAGGCTTAATTAGTGTGAAAGAATTATAAGAAAAAGTAAAACAGTATTAAGGGGAATAAACAATACATAAAAACAAGCATTAAAGAGATGGAGAATAAGGATTGACATTGGATTTAAATCTTTCAAAACCAAAGTTGACTGAAAAGTAAGAAACAGGAATACAGATCAACAAGGGAGAAGTGCGATAGAAGAAAATGTTAGCATAGAACTTACGGTGCATCTCGTAATTTTAACTAGAAAATGATGATATTGTATACTCTACCTTCGTGGTGATGGGCAGTGTGGTTGACGGCGTCGACTCGACAATAAAGATGTCTTCTCTCTCGACTGGGTGTCGAAATGGTTTTGGATTCCGAAGAGGAAAGGCATCAACAAAATAGATTTTAAATCTTACTAATTTATTAAACATGTTGACGTGTACATCTTCTAGCTAGTTAGAGGTTATGCTATCTCACCACAGTGGGGAACAGTTTCCAGACATGATTTTAACACTACATTTCTCGACGTGAAAAACTACCTCCCTGAAATCCATTTCTATCCCTAACATACCCACTTTAGTTTTAGCCAATCAAAAACGACTTCCTTTTTTCTCGTGTATCTGACCTCAAAGGTCAAAATGAAGAATTCAGAGCAGAAATACAATTCTCTAAATAATAATAGTCTGCTGGACTATTATTTAACTATGAGACCTAGCTGCCAATCTAGTACTGCGCTTAAATTTGTAAATTCGAGGTACCAAAGACGTACGCTCATCAGCGCAATTACCCTGAAAATATTTATAGAAACCCCAACAGAGAAGGTAACTTACGGCGAGGAGAATGTGAGTGGAGCGAAGATAATGTATTAATGCCAAATCTGGGCTGCTGTAGTTCAATCCTCTCTTTCCAGTTCTGATAGATTTCACGACGCTTAAATTCACCATGTGTCGGTAAATGTCAGGATAATAAACACTTTTTTTTCTCTGTCTGTAAAGTAACTTTATTAATCTTCAGAAACTCGGCTTTAGTTTGATTAATAGACGGTCCATAAACCCGTTGGATTCCTTTTAAGATTTTGAGCCCCGTGTTCCTGAACAATTTTAACTCTTCTGCCTGAACACCTGAGTCAAAATTCGCAAATAATTAGCATGTAATGTTTCACGGTAAGGCGATGATCAGGGATGAAAGGGTTAATATATATTGACAGACAACCGCCTTTTGATTGCTGTTATTAAACTGTAAAAAAAAAAAAAAAGATCGACTCTATATAAATAATACGGAGATAAAGGGTCCATTTCTTTTCTTTTACATAAATATGTATTTTCGCCAATTCTTCTGTTCGGGTTGCAATGTTAAAAGAATTCTGTATCTTTTTAATCCTTTTATCCCTGCCTTCCTGAACAATTTTAGGCC